CTATCTGTCAGACATAATAGAACATCCATAGTTTACTTTCTCTATCTCATGTTCCTTCAGTAATTACTTTGTATACTCTAACTCCTTTTGAAGGAGTGCAACTCTACATTCATAATAAGATGGAACCTTCAAATGAGGACCATAGTTCCCTATTGCTTCAACCATCAACCTAAAACTTCTAGAGCGTACAACATTGAAAGGTATCTCATTCGTTACTAAAAATCTCTCGATATATTGAACTGTTCTTGCTCTAGCTTCTTTATCACAGGCTTCATTGATGCTTGTTTGCCTTTTTCCTAACTTGATGCTATTTTTTGGTTTTTTCAAAAGAAGTAAGTCCATGGGACCTTTCATAGTCTTGCCTTTCTTGGCAGCAACAACAGAGGAATCACTACTGGGTGTTACTCCCCTTTTTTCAGTTCTAAGGTTATGGATTTCTTCGACCTCTTCAAGCTCTTCATCATCTTCTTGTAGCTCATTTAGGGAAGCATTTTTATCAGCTAGCTTCTTCTCATACGGTTCCTTCAAAGCATTTCTTACTTCTAGGGTTTTTTTTCTTATATGGCTCTACATCTCCCTTTATTCCCATTTGGTGTAATTTAGCCCTGGTAATTCCACCTGTTGTTGTATTCTGACAGAAGTCACATGTCACGTTTCTTTTGTTATTGATATCCTTCAAGAAATTCCATTGCCATGCTATATCATGATAAGAACCCGGGGGTTTAACGAAAGCACAAGAAGAAGGAGATTCTTGTATGATGTTGTTGTAGATATATTTATTATTATAGAGGCAAACAAAAATAAAATAAAAATCAGAAAAAAAACTAAAATAAATTTGAATATTTTTCTGTTGCCGGGACCACAAATCAGCAAAGGAAGCACAAAAGCTAATCTCAATTTCGTTATTTTTCTGTCTAGGGACCACAAATCATCCTTGTCATCTACAATATAATGTATATCACTAGATGACATACCAGTAATGATCTTTTTTATTTTTAATGAAAAAAATAGGAGGCCAGAAAAAAATAGAAGGTAAAAAAGAGGAAGAGGTAAAAAAGACAACCCAAAAAGGGAAAAAGTCACAAAAAAAATCCAAAAATAAATAACCTAGAAAAGAAAAAGAAAATAAATAAAGAATGTTACCTACAAAGAGAGAAGAGATGATTCTCACTCAAAAGAGAAAGTCGTTCAGATGAATAAGAGATAAGTCAAGAGATAAAGGTAGAGAAGAGATGCTGTTGACCTAGAATCCTAGATAATATTGTTTTCTCCAAAGTGATTGTAATATTAAATGACTCTTAATTATATATATAGGATACAAAAATATGTCGGTCACAAATAATAATAATTTGTTGAATAATTTATTAATTATTTTTATATAACTTGATTGTTTAAAATTTTGAACAATATCTTTTGATATGTTTTTTACCCATAACATATAAATCAACTTTTGACTATATATCTTTACTTTTAAAAAATAAATCCATTTTTCAATGTCCTGCCCGTGATTCAAAAGAGAAAGAGTGCGCTCCATTTTAAAAAATAAAATTCACGTGGGAAATAATATTATAATAAATATCATATTCAAAACAAATTATACAAGCCACATGAGTTTCTTTCTCGTCTCTGTCTTTATAACGCAGAAGAGAGAGCTCCATTTCAGCCGCAATTTTTGCTGAAACAGACTCTACTATTATGGCCGCTAAAGACGCGATCCCTTTCTGGCACAGTGCGAAGCTGTTTCTTGCGATCGACCACCGCAAACGGTGCGGGTAGCGCCACTTTTAACTACTATGCTCATAAATAATTCTCTTGAACAATAATTCTCTTGTTATTAAAAATCAGATAGCAGAGTTAATTGCAAATGTTGATATGACAAAAAATTGCCTATTCAAGCTGAATGTCTGGATATAAGCTATAAAATGCATGAAGTTCATCATAAAAGATAGTTTATGGTTGTGGCATCTCAAATTTGATCATCTTGGATTCACTGACCTAAAGTTGTTATCAAAAGCCATAATGATGAACAGATTGCCAGAAATAAATCATCTTCATCAATCGTGTGAAAGATGTATGAAGGGAAAGCAACATAGATAAAGTTTTGAAGTTGGCAAGTCATGGAGATCTAGAAGATCATTGCAACTAGTTCACTCAGATATAGCTAGTCCGTTTAATATTTCATCACTTGGAGAAAACAGATACTATATCACATTTATTGATAATTTCAGTAGAAAAGCTTGGGTGTATATCCTCAAAGAAAAATCACAAGCCTTTGATAAATTCAAGGAATTCAAAGCAATAGCAGAAAACCAAAATGGTCAGTATATGAAGATACATAGAATACATAGATGAGGTGAATATACTTCTAAATTGTTTGAAAAAATTTGCCGAAACCATGGAATAATTCATCAATTGACAGCTGCCTACACTCCAAAACAAAATGGCATTGCAAAAAGAAAGAATCGTACAATTCTTGATATGGCGAGAACCATGCTAAAGGAAAAGCATATGCCAAGAACACTTTGGGCTGAAACTGTTCAATGTGCTACGTATCTACTAAATCGATGTCTCGTAAAAAGTGTGAAGTTCAAGACTCAAAATGAAGCATGGAGTGGTAAGAAACCATAAATAAGCCATATAAGAATCTTTGATTGCATGATATATTCCCATTTCCAGATCAGGAAAGAAAGAATTAAGATGACAAAGGAGAGAAATGCATTTTCATTGACTACGAGCAAAGAAGTAAATCATTTAGATTGTATAATCCTCTGACCAAAAAGGTAATCATCTCACGAGATGTATGGCTTAATGAAGCTGATTACTGGAGATGGAGTGATGAAGAAAAGAATGTTGAAGGCCTATGTTTTAAAGATGAAGGTAACTCAATGGAGCAGATAGTTGTAGAAGGAAATGATCAAACTCCTCCACCAAGTCCTACTCTAACAACTCCTACATCAACACCATTAGCATCAGGAAACAACAACAGAAATTCAAAGGGAGCACCAGCAAAGATGAGAAGCTTAAGTGACATCTATGATGCTACAAATGAGGTAAAAACCACATTTTATTATTCATTATCTTGCTTAATAGCATAATGTGATCTGGTGACATATGAACAAGTTGTACAAGATCAAAAGTGAAAGAAAGCAATGAATGAAGAAACTGCTGCAATCAAAAGAAATGATATGTGGGAGCTTACAACTATGACCAAAGGTCACAAGACAATTGGAGTAAAGTGGGTCTACAAGACAAAGACCGACAAAAAAGGAAAAATGGAGAAGTACAAAGAAATATTGTTGGCTAAAGGATATAAGCAAAAATATGGAGTTGATTATGAAGAGGGTTTTGCATCAGTTGCAAGAACTGATATTATCAGACTTCTTACTACAATTGCAGCAGAAAAGAAGTGGAGGATATACCATATGGATATAAGATCATCCTTTCTCAACGGTTACTTGGAAGAAGTCTACATCGAGCAACCATCAGGTTATATCAAAAAAAGGCTAAGAGGATACAGTTTATCGGTTGAAAAAGCGCTTTATGGATTGAAGCCAGCTCTTAGAGCATGGAACACAAGAGTAAATGAATATTTTCAGAAGAATGAATTTGTGAAGAGGCCACATGAGCATGCTTTACACATGAAAAAGAATGCAAATGGAGATATAATGATAGTGTGCCTATATTTCCAGGTATGTTTGATTAGTTCAAGAAAGCTATGACTAAAGAGTTTGAAATGACAGATATTAAGGAAATGTCTTATTTTCTTGTAGTTGAAATGAAACAAATGAAAAAAGGAATTTTCATATCACAAAAGAAATATGCATAAGAAATTTTGAGTAAGTTCAGGATGAAAGATTACAAGCCAAGCTCCACACCAATAAAGCTGGAAAAAAATGAAAATTGATTCAGATGAAAAACCAGTCAATCCAACACTATACAAGAGCTTGGTTGGAAGCTTAAGGTATTTGTCTTTCACTCGATCATATATTATGTTTATAGTTGGCTTAATTAGCATGTATATGGAGCATCCAACACAAGATCAATTCAGTATAGCCAAGAGAATTTTGAGAGACATCAAAGGAACTATTGATCATGGATTATTCTATACATATACTGAGGAATCAAAATTAATCGATTATTCAGATAATGATTATGGAGGAGATGAATTGATCAAAAAAGAACTTCAGGATATATGTTTCATATTGGCTCAGCAATATTTTCATGGTCATCAAAGAAGCAACACACAGTTGCTTTTTCATCATGTGAAGCAGAGTAAATGGTCGCAACAGCATTCACGTGTCAAACAATTTGGCTGAAGAATATTTTGAATAAGTTACACTAGGAGCAAGAAGACCCAGCCAATTACTTTATATGTGGATAACAAGTCTGCATTATCACTTGCAAAGAATCTAGTATCTCACAACTGAAACAAGCACATTGACGCGAAGTATCATTTTATTCGAGAACAAGTTAAAAACAAAGTTATGGAATTAGTCTACTACAAAACCAAGGAATAACTTGCTGATATGTTTACAAAGTCGTTGAAAACAGGTGTTCGATAAACTAAAAAATATGAGTGGTATGCAAAGTGGAGTTTGAGGGAGAGTATTAGTAAACAAACTCCTCCATCGCAAATCTAAAAAAGGAAAAATAAAAATAGCATATGCTATCATCCACCACAAATGCAGGCTGTCATAGTTATATTTGAGAGGGAAATAATTTGCATTTTTAAAAAATAGAAAAAGTCTGTTATCCATCTATATATAGAAAAGTAATGTCATGTATAAATAAAAGAAACAAAAGGCAAAGAATTGTGTGAAAGAAAAAAGGAGTACTGAAATACACTCATTGAGGAAAGAAAAAATAGTTTGAGATAAACTAAGAGATATGTACTCTTGTGATGTTTTTGTATTTTCAAGAAAAATTTGTTATAATAGAAGCTTATCTTCTTCTTTATTATTCTGCATAATTAAATTTGCAACACTTGTCACATGATGTAGGTCCCCTGATATGGCTGCTATGCATCAAGATACATCAGAGGATCGTGAAGTAGTGAGTGAGAAACTCAAAGAGGTTTTCGGGGTAAGAATGTTGTCACCTTTTTTTTAAGATGTAAATAAATGTAACATGGTGCAAATGAATGAAAACACTTACTGTGAAATTGCACAAAACCCCAGATTACTAGTAGTAGTGCCATGGCACGAGAAGTGGTTGCTGAGGTATGTGACATAGTAACAGAACGTGGGGCTCGCCTAGCTGGAGCTGGAATTGTTGGGATAATAAAGAAGCTAGGGAGAATAGAGAATAGAAAAAGTGTGGTGACGGTGGAAGGTGGACTTTATGAGCATTACCGCATTTTCAGAAATTATCTTCATAGTAGTATATGGGAAATGCTTGGCAATGATCTCTCAGATAATGTCATTATAGAACATTCTCATGGTGGCTCTGGAACTGGAGCACTATTCCTTGCTGCTGCTCAGTCTCACACACACCGTGCAGATTCTTGAACATTATATGTTTCAAAAGACTCTTTTTTCTGGTTTGCATTTTTATGAAGAAAAATACATGATGGTTGAACTTGAAAGTGGATTTTTTTTATGTTGCCTTTCTTTACTTTGAATGCATTATTTTCTTTTTCATCGATCAGCTTATAGTGATTTGGACATTGTTGATTCATTCTGGTTTCTGTAGCCGATACAATTGAAATGGACAATTGATAAACTGGGGTGGACACTACTCGCTTATAAATTGGGCTGGTAATGATGGTAGATAAACTTGAAAAGGGCTTGGCCCATTAGATTTTAAGATACAAAACTCTGCCATTATATGTTGGAAAAAGTGTGTCATTTTAAAGAATGTAAAGTTGTGTCATTTTAAGAGAGAAAGAGATAGATAAAGGAGGAGAGAGAATTGACAAAAAAATTAAAGGTGTGGGTCTCACCTCTTTGTGAGAGTGAAAGGATATAAGTTGTGTCATTTAAAAGGATATACATTTTTTCCTTATATGTTTGGGTCATTTTTTTCCTAATACCCTTAATCATGATCAAGCATTCCATTTCATTTCCATAGGAATGTTTTTTTTTTTTTTAGATTTCTCTACCAGTTCATCGATTATTTGATTAATCCAGTAAAGTTGGACAGAATCATAAAGATAGTAAAACTCTTACATAACTGTGTATCCAAAATATGAATTCAAAACTACTAATTAAGTTAATTAGAACAACCTCATACCCAATTGGTCCAAGTGCTTGTTAATTTTCCATGTGAATTTTAAAACCTGGGTAACCTCCCAACCCTATCTCGTACTGGATAGTTAAAACCCGCCTTGTTGCCGGATGCGTTGAATGTGGATTTAGGATTCTCCATGTGCATTAATTCTAAATAAAGTCCATGCCTGTATTAATTATTAACAAAGTTAATTATATATATATATATATATATATATATATATATATATATATATATGAGATAGGATCCTTTGACACCGGTGTCAAATTTCAAATTTTACACCTCATTGATAACCATTAGATCAAAAAAGATCAATGGTGTCACATGCTTGTAAATCAGAGTCGATCTTTTGTGATCTAACGACTCTCAGATGAGATGTCAAATTTGAAATTTGACACTAGTTGCATGACAATTACAAAAAAGAATAAGAGGGAGAGAATGTTAGTATTATGATAAAAAAAAAAATTTTTGATCTTATTCATTTATTTTGTGGCTTGTAATACGTAATTTGCTTGTTTATGCATATTGAGTAATATATTTTTGTAAACCATAATCTATATTTATAGTTTTAACACTTATTATGAACATATATGCATGTCAATTTATTTGAGATATTACTGTAAGAAACCATTTTAATCCCGAAGATATATATTTATTATTAATTTAGTCCCTTAAGAATTTTTATTATTTTAGTTAAGCTCAAAATCCTTAATAATTGATTCACTCTATTTATTTTAGCTAGTTTGACATCATCGATGAAATTCTGTTCATGTTCGAATATTGAAGAATATTTAAATATTCAAATATTATGACGTACCCCATATTTACACATTGACTTCATGACTTGTATAGTCTGAAATACATTCTATGAGTATCATAAATGATAATTTTAGATACAATGTTTGAATATGAGCCTTCAATATTTAAACATTATGAAATTTCGTCAATATTCTATTAACCGCATTAGATTAAAATGAATAGAGAAATTTAATTTTTACGGAATTAAATTGAAAAGGTTTTAAAAAGACCAAATCGGTAGAGTGTAATTTTGGAGACTAAAATAGGATATTACTCCTAATTTTAAGATTACAGTTGAAGGTTATAAAAAAAAAAAAAAAAAAGATTACAGTTGATTATCATATAAAATTACTTAAAATAGTCGTAACTCGTAAATACAAAGCAGTTAAAAATTAGATTTTTTCCTCATAAAATTATGATTTTTAAGGTCACGTCGAGAAAAACCAAGTCTCATACACAAACATATCTAGAGAGTAGAGACCATGCCTCTAAACTGTAAAAGCCAGGAGTAACCTTTACACTTAAATATGAGACAAGTCAATTGATTTGTAACGTGAAAACCCACGAGCGTATATTAAAGGATAAACAAGTTTAGTCCCTCTCAATGCTCTTGCCATTAATCCCATCAATATTTTGAAGGACCACCATTCAGCATCTTTCGAAACTTTAAGCATGTCAATGGCATAATTACTTGCTTGCTTAAACAAAATGGTAGTGCTGTAACACGTAATGGACCAAAGCTGCTGATATGCGGGCCACATGATGAACACCTAGTGCAATATATATAGCTAAGCTAACAGGGTAGGATAGACTGCATATAAATCACGCAACTACCACAAACTTTTGTGCAGTTCAAATGATGGAAATATATAGCAGTAATCTGCAGAATTTGTAGCTTTACATAGCTTGATGTGTAGCTGGAGATTCTTTCCATTATTATAAATATATTTTTTTTATACACGAGGAAGGACTAGAATACACATCATCTAACATAACTACCCACACCTCTTATTACTAAGTTAATCTTAGTAGCTTATTTTTTTATAAAATTTACGTCAACTAAAAGATAATAAACAATCTACTCATTCTATGATAAATATGATTTTTATAATAGTCATTTTCAACAAAATTTCATAAAAGATACCAAGAATGTGTGTCAATTGCATGTGGTATATTTCAATTTAATCTGTGGTCTCGAGTTCAATTTTAAGTATGTAGCAATATCAAAAGTTTGGTAGCTAAATATTTACCATCCTTGTGATCCTACCCGCTTCGATCGGATTAATCTAGGTGAATAAATCTATAAAAACATTTAAAGTATAGATATATTTTTTTGGTAAAGAATAAATATTATTGGAAAAGTTTCGAGTAATAGTTAATTAGTTTTATTTAATTAATAACAAACTAACAAAGTTAACAACAAAAAGTTGTTTCTTGTAGACTTAGGGTGTGCATGCAAACTTTCTCGGAATCAATTTTCTTTTTAATTTCTGTTTCGGTGAATAGAAATGGATAGTAAACTCATTTGGAAAAATCGGTTTATTATTTTGTTTCTGGGATGAACCGATTTAATTTTTGTGCTGGAGAATAGAAAAAAGAATAAAAAAATTTCTGCATTATTGTTTCCGGGCACAAAATGAGAAACACTTATTTCTCTCAATCACTTCACCACTATCGTCATCATCTTACCATCATCATCCCAACACGACCACCGCCACCATCGTAGCTGCCGTCATTGTACCACCAATGTCGTCGTCACCACCACGACAACGACGATGCCACCACCACCTCCACCTATCGCCACCGCCTCCGCCACCACTACCATCACCGCCACCACTGTCACCAACCACCACCACCATTATTGCAGCCACTGCTGTCACGACCAACATTATGCACCACCACCACCGCTATCACCACGCCATCGCCACCACCACGATGCCACCACTTCCACCACCTTCACCAACCACCACTACCATCGCCGCAGCCACTGTCACCACCACCACCACCATGCCATCACCACTGCCACCGTCACCAACCACCACCATTATCGCTGTAACCACTGCTGTCACCACCACCATCATGTGATCATCTCCACCACCACTACCACGCCACCACCACCACCACCACCAATATGTCACCGCCATTGCCACAATCACCGCCACCACAACCGTCACTGTCACCACTACTATCATTATCACAGCCACTGCTGTCACGACCACCACCACCACTTCTACCACCGTCACCAACAACCACTATCATCACTGTAGCCACTGTCATCACCACCACCACCACTTTATCGCCCCTGCCACCACCACCACCACCAACCACCACCACCATCGTCACAGCCACTGCCGTCAACACCACCACTATGCCATCACCAACACCACCACGGCCACCACCAACCATCACCACCATCGTCGTAGTCACTGCCATCACCACCACCCCCATCCCCACCATCACCACCACTATCGCCACCACTATGCCGCCACCATCCCTCCATTACCACCACCGTCGCTGCAGCCACTGCCATCATCACCACTACCGTCACTACCACCACCACCACTACCATCACCATGCCACCACCACTGTTGTCACCGCCACCACCACCACCACACCATATGGAAAGGAAAGTGATGATCCAAAAGAAATTTATACTTAATAGGAATTATTTTTTATTATATTATTTGTTGTGTTATCGAACACAATTCTCATTCTCAGAATAAAAATAAAACATATTATCAAACACATTTTTTTTTCTCAGAAACTATTCCAAGGCACATAAATAGAAAAGAATTTTTTTCTTTTCAAAAATAATGCCAGAAAACATAATGGTTCTCATGCACACCCTTCCTTACGTATACTGATCAATAAATATCGATATGAGATACATATATACGATATAATTACCCATGTATTGATAATTTTATGAATTTTCTTTGAAACTTTTTAGAACGTATAAACGTGAATCAATTTTGACAAGTTAAACTCCTATCAAACTGTACTTATACAGCCATTGATTATATACAGATTTTCTGATCTCTCATCTCATTAATATACTTTCATTTTTAGGAAATATTAAGCATACAATTAGTTATTTAAATCCTGACCATCAGTCTATCTCACTTCTTAATTGTTATTGTTGCCATTAGTATACCTGACGACTGACGCACTACAAGAAAAAAGTTTATTTGTGACAAAAAATTTTGTGACAAATTTTGTCACAAATGATAAATTTTTACACAAATAATCAAATTTCGTCACAAATAAATTTGCGACTCAAGAATTTGTGACGAAATTTCATACGTAGTGACGAAATTTGCGACACTAATAAGATTTTTTCTTGTAGTGACGAGTCCCATGAAATATTAAACATTCCAATTTGTTATTCATATTCTTATACTTTCAATACATGACAATAATAAAACTAAATGTTTGTGAGGGGTAGATTGTAAACGAAAAACTATCGCAAAAAGTTCGGTTAGGCTTATCCTATGTTTGTACTCATCAACTTTTATTATTATCGGATTAAATCTAAATCTAATACCTGTAACATTTTCTCATATATATATCCTCTAATAATTTAACGGCAATAGAAATTATAGTAAGAGATAATAACTCGATATTAATTAAATACCTAAACATATTTTCTACTTTAATGAACATATAAGTGATGAATTTTTTAACAAAAGGATTGATGGTGATTACTGATTAGGGAAGAATAGGGCGAGTAATCGAAAATAAATCAATCTGGCATGGGCAAAAATTGAAAGCTTATCTCCTTGCAAAGTGCCTATTTAATAAGCAATAATCAAAAGTCTCTTTCTTTACCGGAAAAAAAGCATTACAAAAGGATCCTTTTAAAAATTTCGTTTTCATAATATATGCATGTTACATTAAAGGTCCATATCCAAGTTTGCTTTTTAACAAAATAAATAAATAAATAAAAACAAACAAACAAAAAGCCTTCATAGGTACGCTATGGCATAACATATATATTTAGATTATAATTTTCACACCATAAATTAACGAATTATGCTTCATCCATAAAATATATGTTTGATAAAATTATAATTATATTTTTTTAATATATTTTTTTATCCCAAACTATTATATAAGTGGGAATAAAATTTCCTTTTTTATGAAATTAAATTATAATTTAAAAATTATTATCAAGCATGCCTTTCAAACACCAGTTGCTGGCCCAGGAGACATCACTATCCCAACCCTCCACCTTGTGCCAAAAATATAAAAAGGTCCACTAAAAGATATACACCGGTTCATCAATCGCTTTTATATCACATTATTATGTCCATGCTATCTCTCAAGTTTAATTTGATACTTTATACTTTATTTGAGAAAGATATATAAGAATGACATGCAATGGTTCTTTTCCAGGCCTAGACAAAGTTAGTGGAGGTTGATACTTTATGGAGAGGGGTTTGTGCATACATAGGGATACATGCCAAAGTCAATATTGATGAGTTAGCAATGGCAAATGCATTGCATTAAGTATATATTAACTTCATTTTCTTTCTCCTTTTTCTTTTCTTTTTTATTTTTACCTTTTTTCTAGTTATTTTTCTAGACTGTGAGACAGATACTCATCACATCAACCATGTTTAACACACAACGGGACAAAATAGAGGTGGTACTTTTGGGCTTGTAAATCGTAATCAACCCTCAAGCAATTATCTTTTTCACCACATTCTTGTCCTTCTAAAACCTCGTGGGCCCTTATGTTGTCCAGTGTCTCCAATAGAAGAAGAAATCATTACTGAATTTTAATTAACCTTTTACTTTTGTTTCTTTTTAATGATAAATAATCCTATGAAAAAGTTAAAACTGCGAATAGATTAACTTTTTTATTGATGAAACTAACAAACAAATTTTATGATTGAGGGGTATCTTTTTTTTGTACCGCAAATGCAACACATACATTGTATGTTATAAGTTTTAATCTCAGTTTAATATTAAAAAAAAAAATCTTTTTTACAGTTATATATAAACTTTTGATTTAATTTAATTTAATTTGGTCAAGATTATCATGTAGCAGTCAGTTAAACAAAATTTATAATATCGAAAAGGACAAAAACACGCATTTATAAGCTCCATTCCTTGTCGTCAATTTTCAGCGGTAGTTGTTAATCTCTTATTCAAAACTTTGTCGTTAACTTTATATATTATAATATCTCTTTTTTGTAATAAATAAAATTATTTTTTATATGAAGAAGGATATTCTTACTATCAAAATTTTCTACTACTAACTTACAACTTACTACCTATCTAATCACCATTGAATCAAAGAGAGAGAATGCTAAAAAGTTTTTGAAAAAAGAGAAAATATTGATTCAACTGTAATTAGATAGGTAGTGAGTTAGTAGTAGAAGATTTTGGTAGTAAGAATATCTTTCCTCTTTTTACATACATATAAATGTATGTGAGGTTTATTTTTTTCTTTTTTCTTTTCACATGACCTCACATAAATCTCACATACTTTTGGGAAAAAGAAATATAATGTTGTAGGAAAATGTTTAGGTAATGTTATAGAGATAGAGATGGTGGGACCCACGCTTGTTTTCAAAAACCAAAAAAATAAACAAGTGTGGGTGCCACCATCTCTATCTCTATAACATTACCTAAACATTTTCCTACAACATTATATTTCTATTTCCTCATACTTTTATATATGTATAAGAGTCCTCATACTTTTATATATGTATAAGAGATAAGAAGATATCGGATACATCAGACCCATATATAATAGCTACGAAAGAGTAAAGACTTTGCTTAGTTTGTTGGGTAGGGACTGAGGAGGGTGGATTATCAAGACATGAGTGGAGTACCCTTGCTCTTTTGTTAAAATGAAGAGACTAGCTAAGCCATTTCCCTCGCTTATCAAGCAACGCATGCAAAAGTTGAATAATGGGCAATTGGGCATGAACCACTGACTCTGTTTCGATCACTCAATTTAGAGAGTAGCAGCTAGAAGGTGCTGTTTCATGATTCATCACACAACTTCAATATGTTACTTGTACGTTAGGAAAAAAGGAGGGTAAGTGAGGGAGTAGGGACCATTCAATTTTTTCGAGAGAATTAGAGGGACAGACCCATGAACAATTTTGAGGTTCCAAAGGTAAAAAGTAGACAAAAGGAACAGCATCCAAGACATTTTAAATATTCCTAGAATAGGATACAACGTGTTTTCTGGGATGGAAGAGCTTCGGGCTCACAAATTTTGTTCAACTCAACACAAAGTCTTTCTTGTTCTAAGTGAAATCTAAAGCAATTACAGCTAGCGAATCTTGTGTCCCACCCACTATAATTACACAATAAATTAAAAAAAAATATTCAACATACCTAACTAGTATCATAGTGAAATAAATGAATATATATATATATATGGTTTATATTCATCATACAACATGATACAATTACTTTTCCTATACACACAATATTTTGTGAAGTCCATATTTTTTGAAGCAAAAAAAAAAAAAAAAAACTAAGGCTCGGAAAACGAATCTCTATAACATGACATAATCATTTTTCTTATAACATAACTTTTATAAAACTTTATATATATATATATATATATATATATATATATATATATTCAAATTTTAGCTACATACTTTGAAAAAAAAAATACAAAGCAAAACTAGCCAGGAACCAGCAGCATGAAGATCTACTTACTCTTTCAATAATTTAATCAATTAAGATAGGTAAAAGAAAAATTAAATTTTTTTTTCCTTAAAGCAAAATTCCCCCAACTTTCCCATTACTCCAAAATATTTAAGTAGGCTGATAGGATCCCTAAAATTCCCTCCCTAGCTAGCCAACCCCAAAAATCTTGTCTTTGAGTCTACGATCATGTGCAGTGTGATTAGCAGTTAACGTCAAGATTAATCAGAGTTCGCATCATGATTAATCTGGTCAAGTAATGGCACGTAGAAACGAGGCTCCAATTCTTTAATGATTATTCAAAAAAGATGATAAGGACAAACTTGACCTCTTGCAATAAAGTAGCTAGAAACCTAAGTGGATCACAGATGCATATTATCTCGGATTCAAGAATCAAGACCACCACTGTTCTAACAATAAATCTTATTTTAATGGGTAAAATCAAAAGCACACCCTTGATGAAAACTACAGGATGTTGTTATTGTGATTGATTAGGAGGGTATCTGCTTAATCCCCGGTTCCTTATCATTGTGGGCATAAACCTACATAGCTAAGTACAGTCCTCACCAATTAGGATCCCTGCTTGATTCTTGGTTTGGACTAGCTCACAGTGCACAAACTTGGTAACTGCCAATTGAAATTGAAACCAATCAAAATGGTTCTGTATATGTATCTGCTTCCTAATTACCACGGTTCCTGAGAGACTGTTTTAACGCGGTTCCTACATTATTGGCTTT